TAAGTTTGATCAGGAGCCGTTCTAAGCTTCGTATAGTTGCTTTAATTTCGGGTGGTTATATAGGCATTACAATAGAGACATAACCATCAAAGATGACCTCCTGTTATGTTATGCATAGAAGTTTGATATGCGACGATAACGATTACCGAATTTATAGCAACTATACGAAGCATAGAACGGCTCCTGATCAAACTTAATAGACATTCGTTGTCTTTTATATCTAGCAATATATATATATATATATATATATATATATAAGACTTTTCGGTAAATCGAATCGAGTTCTCTCAGTCACTGTGTGTTTAACTAAAAATGAATACACTTAAATTAAATTTCATCCCTGCTTATTGGTAGAATCCCCGACTGACGCCAATTCAGACCGGTTTCGATCCTAGTTAGAGGCAACCGGACGTCTAGCCACACTGATGAGCTGTGATACAGCGAAACAGTCTGTCTATGGATGACAATATATAAGCTCCTGAAAATTTATTTCGGTTGAGTTCTCTAGGGAGGAAGTGTTGGTTTTGTAAACAACTATTACGGCTATTAATGCAAGAATCTTCCGTAAATCGAATCGAGATCTCTCTAAGTGGCTACCGGACGTCTAGCCACACTGATGGCCCTGTGATACAGAGAAACAGTCTCTCTGCGGATGACAATATATATATATATATATATATATATATATATATATATATATATATATATATATATATATATATATATATATATATATATATATATAGATATTAAAGTAAATTCTGTAAAAAGGATATGCCCTGTTTATAATAACGTGATGTACTAGCAATATTTACAGGCGTGAATGTCCAAGAAATATGCGTGCTCCAAAAGGAATCGAACCTGTATCCTATTAGCGAAATGACGGTTCCGTGTAGGGTACGGGTTCGATTCCTGTCGGAAGACACATAATTTCTTTGAGGTTTCTCGTAAATTCAAGCCGGTAAATGTTGTTTAATACTGTTTATTATAAACAGAACATTTACTTAAATATTTGTATCTATATAAATAACGTATGACAATATATATATATATATATATATTGCAAGGAATAGATACAAATTATTTCCTAAAGGCATTATGAAAATAAGAGATGATAACAAGTACAGAACAGCTGTTCTGTAAGTGTTATCATCTCTTTATTTTACGGTTTTGTACATCAACAATTTTTATATATATATATATATATATATATATATATATATATATATATGGACTGACGATTGCGTTTTACATGAAACAGTGTGTGTCGCCTCTGGGTGTTGAAGTAAATTAATATATTTGCATACGTTCTATTCCTGATATTGATCCTTTAATCCATATATACCATACCTTAAAACTATATTTCATCATATATATATATATATATATATATATACAGAGAGAGAGAGAGAGATAGATAGATAGATAGATATATTAATATATTTTATTGGTAAGCGCTATATATGTAGACAGAAATATTTAAGTAAATGCTCTGTTTATACATACATATATATATATATATATATATATATATATATATATATATGTGTGTGTGTGTGTGTGTGTGTGTGTGTGTGTGTGTGTGTGTGTGTGCAGATATGTAGAAAATAGGAAAGAACACGTTAGTGTAAATAATCCGGAGTTCTTTAGTATTTTTTTTTATTTTTAAAAAACAGTGCTCCATACAAGTAGAGTTTAGATTATAATTATTTTTTTAAAATATGATCCCTTCTTCCATAAGAGTTCTCATGTTTCAAAAAACGAGAGCCAAAACCATCAATATAATTATTAAAATTAAATTGAGTTAAATAACAAGCCCTGTTTCTTCCTCAAGCCATATATATGTATGAACAGAGCATTTCATTGAATATTTGGTTCTATATTTATATATGTTTATGTACACACACACACACACACACACACACACACACATATATATATATATATATATATATATATATATATATATATATAAGATGTGGAGCAATTAAGTAAACCACTCAAACACCAGACATAAAACAACCAGATTTTTGTTATGCTATGTAATGAAAATTGATTTTAACAGACTCAAGTCGAAAAGAATTCCTGAATTAAAACAAATCATTTTTGGGAAACTCATGAAGAAATGTGTGAAATGTTTTGTACAAATGTGGCTGATCGTGTTCATTGATGTATAAAACATGGAGGAAAGTATTTGGAGCTTTTTAAATAGCTTGTTAATCATAACAAATGTGACAATAGTTCCAAATTTTGGAAAACTCATTTTTTAATTTATTTCTCTTCAAAAGTAAAATTAATAAATAAAAGTAGCCTTTCTTTATACATCCTGTATATATACACATAAATGTCTATCTATCTATCTATCTATCTATATATATATATATATATATATATATATATATATATATATATATATATATATATATATATATATATATATATATATATATATATAAAATAGGAAAAGAACTGGTTAAGTGATACAAAGTTCCTTAGTATTTTAGTTATTTTTAAAATATATTGCTCGATACAAAAGTAGAGCCTAAATATAATTATTTATTTAAAAATATAATTATTTAAATTTAATTTAATTATTTATTTAAAATATAATTATTTATTTAAAAAAATTATTATATATATATATATATATATATATATATATATATATATATATATATATATATATATATATTATATATCTTACTGTTCTTATATATATATATATATATATATATATATATATATATATATATATAAAGAAAACAGTAAAATATAATCAGTGTTCTTATTGATATTTTTTTTTTTACAAAACAGAGCTCAATGTAAATTTACAGAGCATTAATATTATAAATTAACTGATTTAAAATGTGTTTTTTTTCTACACAGTAATAACCATGTATATATATATATATATATATATATATATATATATATATATATATATATATATATAGAGAGAGAGAGAGATTATTATTTATTATCAATTCAAACAAAGACACGTTATAAACTGCAATATAAATGCAACCATGCTTCAGCACTGTATGCGATACTTGAGGCGTGGGTGAGCACCAGCGCCTGAAGAAGCACGTGTAGTCTCGAAACATGATTGCATTTTACTTACAATTTTATAACATATTTTATTAGAATTGTTAATAAATATTATTAAGCTCTACCTCTGTATTAAGCACTTTTTTTGTAATTAACCTACCTTACATATATATATATATATATATATATATATATATATATATATATATATATATATAAGGATCAAACACTAATATCTCATGGTTATAATTGTACATTGTAATCGTAATCACGATCCAATTCATGAGACCTAGTAATTCAAAAAAATACATACATACATATATACATATATATATATATATATATATATATATATATATTACTACAGAAAAGTATATAGCTACATGTTTACTTCGAACATAAATTATATATATATTCACATTGAAATAACATAAGAGCCCTCTTATATATAATGGAAAAAGAATATACAAAAATGTATACATACATATATATATATATATATATATATATATATATATATAGGTATATATCATAAATATGTTGAAAATTATATATATATATTTATATAGAGATGAGAGCGATTGAGAGAGAGAGATTGAGAGAGAGATAAATATAGATATAGATTTATATATAGATTTATAGTTTAATCTCCCTTGATGAACATGTACACAATTTACATATATGTGTCAATTATATAGAGATTATTAATTGATATATGCATAGGATTATGCACATATGTATATATATACATAAACCGTGTTTATGCTTTATATATATTGACATGTATTATGTTCAATATAGACATATATACATATATATATATATATATATATATATATATATATATATATATATACACACACACACATATATATATGACACAATTCTTCTACACGTTTATCATATAAAATCATATAAATTTTATATGCACCTTTTATAAAAATATTTATCATTATATATATACATAATATTAATACAGATAACTTTTTATAGCTGTATGTATATTTCAAACATAAACTATATATATATATATATATATATATATATATGCACAGACTATCAACATCATCATTATTATTATTGATATTGTTAAATTACTACCAATAAATGGAAATCATTATCGAAAGGCATTTTAACTTGAGTCTTATACAAAATTGTTCATATATATATATATATATATATATATATATATATATATATATATATATATATATATATATATATATATATATATATATATATTATGTAATAGATTAACGTCACTTTGACCAGTGATTCCTTGGACCCAACTGTAGGCTTGGAAATGTTTTAAATGCTCTTAGAGATAACAGGATTTATATTTTCTACTAGATTTGGCTTTTATGGTCCTGACATTTTTTTTTATACGAAAATAGGCCACACGATTGATACACACTCACTTCGACATCGTTATCTCTACTGTATGAAATCAGTTTACGGGAAGAAAAAAAAAATACTGCCTAAACATTCGAACTTTTTTCCCCCAACCTCATCGACTTATCTGGAATCTTTTCATTCACCTTTGAAAGATGAAAATATAATCTTCTGAAGTTAAGCACAATAAGATCTCTGTTTCGAAGATCAACAGAAAAGATTCGACATCAAAGCAAACCCCGAAAACAAATATTTAAATCAGACAACAAACCTTTCTTTGGGGATTTTTTTTTAAGGTAGCAGATCCATGCGTAAGTGAGATTTCTATAAAACTGGTAAATTGCTTATAATTGCGAATCCTATCGGCGTCTTTGTTACGATATAGAACTGACCGTTAGTTTTTGTGTTCTGACTAGAAATAAAGCGAGATAAGGGCTTTGAGGAAACGAAACAGATTTTGATAGACTTTTGTTAAAGAGAGAAAATATTTTAATTGCAAATATTTGTATAAATTAAACGTCTTTCAACGATTTGCCTTAATGACAGTACTTCATGCTATTTTATGGCGCGAAAATAGACAGAGAAGAGGAAAAAAAATGCTGATATGGCTGGCAGTGTGTACATGCGCAAATTTGTGGCTTTTTTTGTATGTGTGCTATTGTGGGTGTTTGTTGGTGGGTAGTGTTTGTCTGTAAGAAAAAAAATTACGTATTCTGATTATTTAGGAGTGTCGTTGGAAGGAAAATTCACTTAAAGGAATGTTTCACTGTTTTTCAAATTTCCTTTTGTTACAAGGACTGATTAAGAGTCACTATTTGAGTACAGTTTGATAGAAACAAATATCTGGACGGTTAGCGAAGAGAGACACTGACCTGATTCGTATGTATGTCTCATTGTGTGTGTGTGTGTGTGTGTGTGTGTGTGTGTGTGTGTGTGTGTGGCCATTGACACACCGTTTGCAGGGAAGGATAATTGCGTTCGGTTTATTTTAGCGGTTTCGTTTTTCTTTAAGAGAATTCTTTGTGTATGTGAAACTTCTGTTTTCAGCGTGTGAAAATAACAGTGCATCTCTTCCCCGCCCTCTATCCGTCCCTGTCAATCGACATACCTCCCGCTGGACAATCTATCTAGGTATCTTTATATCTTTCACAAGTTGATTCATACAAACGCGCAGACATACACTCTTTTCTCTCTCTCTCTCTCTCTCTCACTCTCTCGCTCGCTCTCACACACACACACACACATAGGTAGATAGATATATAGATAGATAGATAGATAGATAGATATGAACAGACTGAGATAGATAGATAGATAGATAGATAGATACAGACTGAGATAGATAGATAGATATGAACAGACTGAGATAGATAGATAGATATGAACAGACTGAGATAGATAGATAGATAGATAGATAGATAGATGAATGAATAGGATAGATAGATAGATGAATAGGAACAGACTGAGATAGATAGATAGATAGATAGATAGATAGATAGATAGATAGATAGAAAATGAACAAAATGAGATAGATAGATAGATAGATAGATAGATAGATAGATAGATAAAAATTAACAGACTGAGATAGATAGATAGATAGATAATAAACAGATTGAGATAGATAGATAGTAAAAACAGACAAAAATAGAACCTATCGGTGAAGCAATCCTATATATCTATGACAGTTTTTCATAATTGATCTCTCTCTCTCTCTCTCTCTCTCTCTCTATATATATATATATATATATATATATATATATATATATATATATATATATATAGTACGAACAAGGCTACAATGTGCCAACCGTATTCGTAAATTAAAAACATCTCTATAACACACTAAGACATACATAGAACGCACACACTCAATTAAGCTGAAAAATCGAATCATCCTTTATAATGGCTAAAGGTATAGCCGAAACCGCTCGGAACTATAAAAGTATTTGGACAGTTTTTAAACACCCTTTGTCCAGAATAGGAAGCTCTTGTTCGAAAACAAGAAAAATTAAATACAAAGCTTAACCGTAGTAACTTGTCTGTCATTTTTAATGAAACATGCATAAATGGAGGATTGTTGCCTATATATATATATATATATATATATATATATATATATATATATATATATATATATATATATACCGGATGTAACAGCAAAATTATCCAAATCGTGTAAAAGCATCCCGCAAAATGTGAAGGAGTTATCGGCATTCTTATCTTTTAATGACCCCTGTGTGTTCTTAGATCTATTTCCATTTTCTTGTGTTTTTGTCAACATGCGTGTATATATGTATATTCCCTCTGCAATAAAAGATAAGAATGCCGATATCTCCTTCACCATTTCTCGGACCAATCTTAATTGTTTTATAACCCTTCACGCAGAACTTTTCACTGCCAGTTCAAGAAAGACATTTGGGTCATTGACACAAGAAAAGAAAATGTCTCATATCAAGAATATTTAATATCGAAAAACGTAAGAAAATGATTTAATTATTTTTAATAATACGTAGAAATTTCCACGCTGTGCCTGATAAAGTTCGCTGGACCCGAAAGCCGTGTAGTAAAATTATGGCAAATAAAGCATAATATTTTTTTTTTTTTCGGAAAAGTATTAATCCTCTTCCCTCTTCTTCTTCCTCGAAGCGGGACAGACTGGATTCTATAGGGTTGGATGGCAAATGGTCTAGGAGAAGGACAACTCTGAATCTTAAACCCGCGGAGGGTTGTTTGGAGACCTTGTGTCATGTAGTTCCTAGGAACTGAGTTGCTTGACCTTCATACGTCAAATACGATGGGACAGTCCATCATATATACATATATATATATATATATATATATGTCTGTATGTCTAAGACTGCATGTATCATCGCCGTGAGGTAATGTTTAACGCGCCTTGTCTGTTTGACCATTATATATGAATAACATGTTGCATCCTCACTTTATGTCCAATACAAAAGTTCGATAATCAATAATTGATCACATGTGCTGTTGTTAAATCAACTAATTAATCGACTTAATCGATGTTTTCCAAGGATAATGGGTACAGGCCGATGCTTCTCGGGTCGGTTATAGCTGTATTTTGGATTGAATTAGACACCCAAGTTTTAGATATTATCTCCGGGATTTACTCCGGTCTTGTCCATGATTGGCTATAATTGAAAGGCAGTGTTTCTACCTAATATGAATTTTACCTTTCTCATTGCATATTCAACTATATTATTCATATGGAGTGTATCCTTTAGAAAGCAATCGAAATGAAATAGTAGAAAAATACTAAATCTCACGAGAATTGATAATAAATAGGAATCCATTTTGAATAAGCGTGAAACAACGATGTTAATGGCTTCAAAAAAATTTTAGACTACTTTTATGAGTGTTTAAAATAGAGCACTCATATTCGTAAGAGAAGTTATATCTGTCTGTCATAGTCTGTTCATATCGATCTATGTCTGTCTGTCGCTACTTGTTTATATCTATCTATCTATCTATCTATCATAGTCTCTTCATATCTATCTATCTATCTATCTATCTATCTATCTATCTATCTATCTTAGTCTGTTCCTATCTATCTATGAGAGATGTCAGCGTCTCTTAACGCATTTATCAGTTTATAGCATAGTATATAATTTACAAAGTTTGTAAAAATCTTATCTGCCTTCTCAGAATAGGAATAACCTGCCATTCTTAAACGGAACTGTACTATTTTGGCGTGTTTCTAAAAGCATTTTGATACAATATATATATATATATATATATATATATATATATATATATATATATATATTATTAGCATTTCACCCCAAGCAAGGCGGGAAGCCACTAGGACCAAAGGGGTTACAGAAAATATAGAGCGAGATCAGGAATGGGAGTGATAGAAAGGGTAGTGGATAGATGAAGGCAACTGGAGATGTCGATTGACATTACACTTGAATAGCTGGAGATTATAGCTCTCAGGGAAACTGGAATAGAGAGGGAGTTCCACAGGCGAGAGGTGCGAGACATGAAGCTATTGGAGTAGAAGAGACGGCTACCTTTAGGAGTTTCGACAGTGAAGCGGTGAGAGCGGGATGCCAGCCTCATAAGGCGCTGGAACTCATGACGTCTGGGAACCAGCGAATGCAGCTCCTCGGAGCAATTACCATGAAAGTATTTGTTATAAAGACAGAGAGAGGCGACGACGAGTCTGTGAGAAAGTGACTGTATATATAATGTATCAATATATATATATATTTGTTTTTTTTTGGTTTTTTCAACATCATCACTTGATAAGACACAGAGTGTGTTGAAACAAAATGGCTATTTTTTAGTGATTTTATAACATACTTATATTTATTTTTTTTTAAAAAAAATAATATATATATATATATATATATATATATATATATATATATATACCCGATGCGATGAGAACGGAAGTAATATATAAATTCCAACGTTCACAGCATTAATCCAAAAAGGGTTCGATACCGATAGTAGAGCGATAATTATTTATTTATTATAATCTTATCATATAGACAAAACCATTTTACTCACTACAAAGATGCAACTTGGTTTCAGTGCAATTCAACTGCACTTCGACGTGTGAGAATCGAAAATGATTATGAACAATCCTGCTTGTAGGCAAGCCGTATGTCAAATGTCACTTCCTTTTTCCATCTGTTTGAGAAGAAAAAAATATACATAAAGCAAAAAAAAAATGGAAGAAGGGAAGTGGTTACTTTTGTTTTACTCGTTTTGGAGGGTTTTTTTTCTTTGGACTCTGAGCTTGGATTCTAGACGATTGTTTTCGCCTCAATTACATGTTGTTAGTTCTTTCTTTTTTATCCCTTATTTTTCTTTGGGTATTGGTTTGTTCATTTACAAGCCAAAACACCTAACGTTTTTCCAGACGGTATAATTACTTATATTTATAAGATTATATATATATATATATATATATATATATATATATATATATAAGATTGTGTATTTTGGCAGCAATCCTTCTTATATGCATGTTTTATTAAAAACGACTGACAATGTGGTGTGCTCAAGTTTTTTATATAATTTTTCATGTGTTCTTATATTTTTTCTTTTCATGACACAAATTATTCAAAAAAAATGTCAAAATGTTTTATATAGCCAAGCGTTTTCGGCTATTCTCTACTTTTAACCATTATCAAGGATGAAGTTTATTTCTCTTTTAACTGAATATATGGATTGTTTTATGTATCTAGAGTTATAGGAATGTTTTATTTTCCAAACACGGTCAGCACATTGTGGCCGTGTTCAGAGTTGATATTAATGAGTGTTGGCTTTTCTTTTTTATTAATAACTAGCAGTAGCGCCCGGCGTTGACCGAGGATGTAACAGTAAGAGATAAATCAAGTATCGACCATCATAAAGACTGAAAAATAAAATTGACAAAGATTATTGTTTAAGGTTGACGGACACGCATGTCTTAATTCGTTTTTTTTTTTTTTTTACGAATTGGTCAAACCCAAACTCAAACAAAACATTGTTTTCAATCGTTATGAGTCTATCGATTGAATAGAATTTTTATTATAAACAATTGTCTTGTAAATGGAGTTTTTAAAGCATTCTGAATGTAAAAATAAAGAAAAAAGTGTGCAAGACAATAAGAAACACTACCTGCCAAAAAAAAAGTGAAGTTTTGTTGAAATCGGTTGAAAAATGTAGGAAATCCGATCCCATATATAAACAAACACACACACACACACACAAAGAATCTGGGTTTTATAATAAGTATAACTCGATATGAGTTGTCCCCATTTCATTCTCGCGATGCCTCTTAATCGTGTTTTCAAATTGATTTTGTGCAAAAACAATTATGTTTTTCCCATTTTTGGCGCTGTTAGAACCACTGCAAGGTAATTTTATGTAGTCCTGTGAAGTTTTGTTGAAATCGGTTGAAAAATGTAGGAAATAAGATCCAATATATAAACGGCATATGTTTAAAGCAGCATCTGACCACATCTCAGTTGCTGTTGCTCCCAGGTCCACACACCCGGGTTTGAGTACACCTGATAGGATCACTGCTATGGGCAAATAGTTGAGCTGAGGTCAAAACAGTTTGAAAGTATAAAAATAGTTTTATAGTTAAAATACCAGCAATACATTTTTGAAACAAAATATTAGTAGAAATTCTCAAATTATCTTTTTTTTCATCCCTTTTTATTTTATTTTTATTTTATTTTATTTTTTTCAAAAAATATTATCAGCAATGCATTTGATTGTCGACAAAAATCTCTTTACAAAAAAGTATATATATATCTTATTCATACGAACCTATCCTAAAACATTTGTCGACATTAAATAACCCATTGAGGTTAATATGCCGTAAAACAAAATAAAGCAAACCAGACTCCCTAAAAATACGTATTTTACAAAAATAAATCAATGAAGCCTGATCTACAAACGGATTTCTTACTAAGTATATATATTTTATTCATACGAACCTATCCTAAAAAACTTGTCGACATTAAATAACCCATTGAGGTGTTGATATGCCGTAAAACAAAATAAACCTAACCAAACTCTCTAGAAATACGCTTTTTACGAAAATACATCAAGGAAACCTGGTTTACAAACTGATTTTTTTACAAAGAATATATATTCTATTCATACGAACCTATCCTAAAATTCTTGTATGATATGCCTTAAAAGAAAATAAACCAAACCAAACTAAACCACACTCCCTAGATATACGCTTTTTACAAATATACACCAATGAAACCTGGTCTATAAACTGATTTTTTACAAATAATACATATTCTATCCATACGAACCTATCCTAAAAAACTTGTCGACATTAAATAACCCATTGAGGTGTTGATATGCCGTAAAACAAAATAAACCTAACCAAACTCTCTAGAAATACGCTTTTTACGAAAATACATCAAGGAAACCTGGTTTACAAACTGATTTTTTTACAAAGAATATATATTCTATTCATACGGACCTATCCTAAAATTCTTGTATGATATGCCTTAAAAGAAAATAAACCAAACCAAACTAAACCACACTCCCTAGATATACGCTTTTTACAAATATACACCAATGAAACCTGGTCTATAAACTGATTTTTTACAAATAATACATATTCTATCCATACGAACCTATCCTAAAAAAACTTGTCGACATTAAATAACCCATTGAGGTGTTGATATGCCGTAAAACAAAATAAACCTAACCAAACTCTCTAGAAATACGCTTTTACGAAAATACATCAAGGAAACCTGGTTTACAAACTGATTTTTTTACAAAGAATATATATTCTATTCATACGGACCTATCCTAAAATTCTTGTATGATATGCCTTAAAAGAAAATAAACCAAACCAAACTAAACCACACTCCCTAGATATACGCTTTTTTACAAATATACACCAATGAAACCTGGTCTATAAACTGATTTTTTTACAAATAATACATATTCTATCCATACGAACCTATCCTAAAAAACTTGTCGACATTAAATAACCCATTGAGGTGTTGATATGCCGTAAAACAAAATAAACCTAACCAAACTCTCTAGAAATACGCTTTTACGAAAATACATCAAGGAAACCTGGTTTACAAACTGATTTTTTACAAAGAATATATATTCTATTCATACGGACCTATCCTAAAATTCTTGTATGATATGCCTTAAAAGAAAATAAACCAAACCAAACTAAACCACACTCCCTAGATATACGCTTTTTACAAATATACACCAATGAAACCTGGTCTATAAACTGATTTTTTACAAATAATACATATTCTATCCATACGAATCTATCCTAAAAAACTTGTCGACATTAAATAACCCATTGAGGTGTTGATATGCCGTAAAACAAAATAAACTAAAACAATAAGCCAGTATTCGAGTAATTCAGGTAGAAGGAGAATATTTGTTAAGTATAATAAATATATTTTCCTCCAGTATAATGTTTCCGGTACACTAGTGTCTGTGTGTGTGTGCGTGTATGTGTGAATATCTGCGGTGCGTTTACGAGTGTGTGCGTTCAACAAAGTAATGGAATAACAATTGTTTTATTTCCCGCGTTTATTCAAATCCTTAACGCTGATTCCCTTGTGGCTTGTCGTACCTGTCATTGTTCTCACCTGTCAGGTGCACGAGGTCCCGCTTCCAATGTGTGTCAACCTTTGGCAGCAGAAAAAAAAAGACATGAAATTCTCGCAGACGGTGAAAGAAAAGGCCAAGGTAATTTGCAGTAACA